GAACCCCAAACTTGTTTTTCCCTGTTTCCAAACCGGAAACTACTAACAAACCAAAGTGAAGCCATATTACACTCCTGATCGTTGGGAAACAATATTGAACAAGGTAACTGACAGAGATACAGTTGCAGCTGCTGGTCTACAGAAGTCTGCAGTTCCCAGTATGAAATGTGTCTCTTTTTGATAAATTTGAGCAACATGAGCTAAAGGAGAGTGAATTGAATGTTGATTGTTAAAAACTAACACTTGCACCGAATGAAGTCATGAGAACCTCTGTAATATAGACGTGAATTTTTAGTCATCTGTAATGTCACCTTGCAAGCTTATAAATTTTGTAATCATACCAATAAAGTTGTTCTTTTCTCCTGGTACAGATTGCTGGGCTGTTCTGTTCTGGAGGGGAGATTATCCTTCTTGATCAAGGATAACAATCTTTTCACAGAGATTCGGGGTCAAAACCTGCAATCCATATATACTCAGGGTGGTTGTGGTGGGAACTAATATCTCAGTTCTCTTTCTTCCCGTCCCCCCGCCCCCCACTTCTAGTGCGCATTCTGTTTTTCTGTCAGTCTGTCTTGTGGTCTACCTTATTGTTCCTCTCTGTTCACTAATCCCAAGAGGAAGCTGCTATTGCTGCTGTGTAAATGGGGGGAGCATCCTATTGCTTTTTAATTGAAATGGATGTTGCGCAGCAGTGTGCAAGGGAGGCAATGACTGGTATAATGGCCTCCTTTGGCACAGCTCTCTGTTTGACAGATCTCTTTGTTTCATCCATTTAAAGCCCTCATGTGCCTTTGGCTGGCTCCCTGCATGCCAAGACCTAATAATTCCAGTGCTTTAAACAGACACTTTAAACAGTGGCACATCATAAACAAGGCTGGGGCTATGCCAGCTCCTGGCTGGCTTGTCCAAGAACTGCACAGACCTGCGACAGATTCCAGAGGTATCCGCTGACAGGGCTGAGATTCCTGCAACTGCTCTCCCTGCCAGCTCTTGGAGAAAAGAACCGCAGCCACTATGTATTTATTTTTATTTTCTTCCAAAAAGAGTTAGTGGCTGCATCTGCACTGTAGAAATAATGAAGCTTGGCTCTGCTTTAACTGCCATGACTCCTTGCAATGGAATCTTGGGTCTTGGATTTTGTAATGGCAACAGGGCTCTCTGACAGAGAAGGCTAAATATTTCACAAAACTACAAATCCCAGAATTCCATAGCATTGATCCATGGCAGTTAAAACAGAGTCAAGCTTCATTATCTCTACAGTGCAGATGCAGCCAGTGTCTTTATGGATTTGGTCTTTTGTACATTTTGATGCATCTCCAGATTATGAATATCATGATGCACCTTTCCTGGTATTTTTGCTGTATACAAAGAGTGGGCAAAATGCAAAAACAATGGTGAGGAATGCTGAGGTTTGTAGTCCAACAGCATCTGGAGGATCACACTTTATATGCAATGCATGCCTTAAAAAGCTGCCTTCTACCAAGTCAGTATTTTTGGCCCTTTCTGGTCCTGTACTGTCTATTTTGACAGGCAGAAGCTTTCCACAGTCTGAGTCAAACAAACAAAAATTCTGCTTTTATCCTTTTAACCAAAAGTTGCAGGGAAAATTGATTATAACTCTCAGAATCTTTGGTCATTTTAGCATGAGGGCTTTAGAGTCCCAAGAACAACAAGAAATCACTTTTAAATCATCCAAATAAACCACTATATATTTTATGAATTTAACATGTAGCTTTTTATATACTACAGCATTTTATTAACAGCTGTATGTCATGACCATCTTTGAAGTGGACTTGTGACATGACATTTGCCAATACTTGCTGAATTGAATACTATTTGTGTCTTAATATTTGCACTAAAATGTGTGATGCAAGGCCAGAAAGTTATTTGTCTTTACAATACGTTATGTCTATGATCTTTATGAAACAAATTGCATTAATGAAAGAATTGAAAATTTTTCAGCCATGGGCCAGACAGAGGCTACAGAAGGTCCCCATTGGTCCTCAAGCAAAGACTATCCACTATTACATGTAATCTCTGATTGAAGAGAAGTAGTTATTTAAAATGTGAAAATTTATTGAATAGAACTGAGCTCTGGTTTAACAGAAGATGCCAGAGATTCCACAGGGACCTTTTGCATGCACAGCATTTTCATTGCTCAAGCAAATAGAAGGATGTAGCCATGTCACATGCCTTCAATCAGGCCTTAAGTTGGATATTGTTACCCAGGGTTTACTTTACTTTAATAATAAACATACTGTAGAGCAGGGGTAGGCAACCTTTCCCCTTTAAGGGCCGAGGGACTTCAGCTCCCAGAAGCCTCAGCTATGTTGGCCAATAGTCCCATGTTGGCCAATAGCACCTGGGATTTTGGGAGCTGAAGTCCCTCGGCCCTTAAAGGGGAAAGGTTGCCTACCCCTGCTGTAGAGGTTTGAGCATTGGACTATTAGTCTATAAACCAGGGTTCGAATCCCTGCCCAACCATGGAAACGTACTGGGTGACATTGAACAAGTCACACTTTCTCAGCCTCAGAGATAAACAAAGGCAAACCCCCTCTCAATAAATCTTGCCAAGAAAAACCCATGATAGTTTTTCCGTAGGGTCACCATTAGTTGGAAACAACTTGAAGGCACACAACGATAGATCAAGCCTGGCTCTAGTACAGTCTGCTCTGTGCAGCTCTGCACTCTATTAAATTAATGTCCTTGCTGATCGCTAATAAATATACTTTGATTAATGTATCCTGGTGTTAGCTAATAAATATACTTTATTCTGCTGGGATTGTTTGGGATGCTTCTTATTTTGCCTAAACAAAGGGGTAGCAACAAATTTATGGCAAGAGGGAACAGAGAGGTTGGCCTTGAGGTGTCTGGCATCCAAAAGATTCTCAGACTGGGTCAGGATCTAGGCAGTCTTTCAGAATGTATGGTGTTAATTGTGGACTTTGAAAGGATTCTTTTGTATGAAATAGAGAATGGAGGAAAATTCTCAGAGGTGTGGATTCAGAGCTCTGCATCTAGAGTGATCAGAGACAAGAGTTTGGTTTCGGGAGAGAAGAAGTTCTGTTGGTCCTGCTGGCTTCAGGAGAATGCAAAGGTTTCCTCAAACTGACATCAAAAAAAAAAAGAAATAGATAAGCTAAGTAGCTCCTGCAGTGCAGTGGTTTGCATCATTTAAGAAGGGCTGCTGCGTGTCTGTTTTATAACACACACACAGACACACACACACACACACACTGCACAAGCTAGTAATTTGGCACCAGAATTTCAAATTCAGCTTTCTGATAAGCATGGTGAGTCTTTTCACCAAAAGGAAAAACAAGTTTCTCTCACCTGACTTTCAACAGGATTTCCATGGTTAAGGGATGGGGGACATCAATAATCTGCAAGGTACTATAGGTTGCAGACAGGGGATGCTATCAAGGTAGGATTGGAAGGCAGACGTCCCGCTCTCCCCCTCCTCTATTAAAAAAAAAAAAAGGTTGTCAAACAGGGCAGAACTAGCTTATCACATTTCAAACAAGCAAATAATACACATTATAATTCAAGATGGGAAGAGGTCCCATAAGACTATACAGTACAACTCCAATCTATTACCTAACTGCACTTAGTGCTAACAGGAGAATATTTATTTAAATGTGCATGCACACACATACGCACACATGAGAAAACTCAATACAGACTCTTTCAGTTACATGCCTCATTCATGCTGCAAGATTCAGCATATATACCATCGGACACTGAAGTTGGAGGATACAGAGTATTGCTACTGATGTTGAAAGCTGAAACCAGAAGTATAAAACCATAAGTGCAGCATGTGAAGTTTGCAAGGGAGTAGTTTGCAAGCATGACTTAACATCATAGATGCACACACACACACACACACACACACACACACACACACTTTTCAATTGGAGGCTGGATAAACATCCCCTCTAAGAGTTAGGAGGCAATTTTCACTCTTACTGTAAAAATTGGAAAGAATTACACTCGGAGACTTGATTGGAGTGGGGATTAAACCTAGCACTATTGATTCCCAGTGGCTGTACTAAGAGGTTTCATCTACATGTACAGATATGTACTAAATTGATAGATTTTATCCTATTGTTTTTGTGTTGGGCTATACATTTTATCTCACTGTTTTATTTTTAGGCTATACATTTCATCAGGGTGGAAAACCTTTAGCCAACCAAATGTTTGAGGCTGGTGGTTTTTGCAGAGCTATAAGCATACCAGCACACAATGCGAAGACATGGCAATATTGCAGTTTTTTTCAGAAAAAAATGTAAGCTCTATTGTACTTTCTTCAGGCTTCTTGAGAGCTTAACTGGATGCTCCCAGATGGAAAAGAGATGAGAAGAAGGCAGGCAGAGGATGGATGGATGCTCACTGAAGCTTTAGATTTCTTGTAAGTTGTTTCAAATAATAAATGAAGTTCTGTGGGAAGGGCTAATTTCATATTAGCTTGGTTCTGGTATATGGTATGATCTTTTGAACCCCTTATTCATACAGGAACCCCTAAGTTAAATGAGTCTTTAAAATAAATATGAGTATACATTTGTATTTATCAGGTGGTGTTAATGGGGAAACATGTGTCACACAGGATTGTTACTTCTTTGAACATGTGTGTGTGTGTGTGTGTGTGTGTGTTCTTACACAACAGACTTTTCAGGGACTTACTCATGTTAGCCTTTTGGAGGAAAAAATACAGAACAGTCTTGTGGTAGATTAAAGATTAACACATTTAATCTGACATTATCTTTCACTGCCCCCAGTTGTCTTACTGCTTGATGTGGGAGTAGAGGTGCCATTCCCACTAGATTCACCATCCATAGAAAATACAGAATACAGAATGTTTACAGAATTACAGAATTCTGTGTATAAATTAAACCACTGCAGGCCTTTGCAGACTGCCAGAAATACAGTAGTGCAAACTGAGTCCACTTTTAGGGTTAGGGTTAGTGCTAGGGAATCATGGGAATTGTATTTTTTTCTGAGACATTGAGCCTTCTCTGTCAGAGAGCTCTGGTGCCACAATAAAATGCAGTTCCCATGATTCCCTAACCCTAACCCTTAAAGTGGACTCAATTTGCACTATTTCTAGCAGTCTGCAAAGGCCCTATGGTAAAAACATGAAAAGTTGCAAAAATTACAAAAATACTACATAATTGGAAGCAGAAGATGGAGAAGCTGCAGAAATAAGACCAGAATGAAATTATGACACAGTCCATGAACCATTAATATTAAAAGTTAGAGTAAAGCTAAAAAGAACACAAAATCAATCTCTGTGCCAAAATGCAACCTGAAGAACATCCCTGTAGAATTTAAAGACCATGTAAAAATAGATTTACACTGTAAAGCTAATTGACCAAGAGCCAGAAGAACTGTGAACTGAAGCCAGGGACATTGTCAAGGAAGAATGTAAAAAGACACTATCTACAGCCCAAGAGAAAAAGAAGCCTGATTATTGTTCTTGTTGTTATTATTATTATTTTCTTATATCCCACCTTTGTCCCAATATAGGGACTCAAGGTGGCATGTAATAGAATAATAGATAATATAACAGATAAGAAGCAAAAGAAAAAGGTGAGAGAAATAGAGTGGGAATCCTAGACATAACTGTTCAGCACCTTGTTCACAGGGACAAAGAGAACTACTATAATAATCAATGCAGAGAAATAGAAGATGACAACAAAATAAGTAGAATAAGAAACTGCATCTGCAAGATATGAGAAATCAAAAGGAAATGCAAAGCAAGAACAGGGGTGCAATATGACCAGCAGGAGAAAACACGATCAAGAAGAAAGAGAAAAATGACTGAAACAATACACCGTAGTACTATAATGCAAGAGAAGGAAGGAAGAGAGATTCATTCAAGGAAAAATAATTGAAGATGAACCACATTTTAGAAAAGAATGTGGAAGCTGCACTTAAAGCACATGGGAGAAATAAATCACAGGAATAGATGTCATACCAATAGAGCTGTTTCAAGCTACAGAGATCAAATCCACTCAAATTCTAACTAAAATTTGCCAACAAATATAGAAAACAAAACAATGGCCTCTACAAACTGGAAATGTTCAATATACATTTTAATCCCCAGGAAACAGGATACCAGGAATTGCAATTACTATTGGACTATTGAGTTAATATTTAATGCAAGCAAAGTGATGCTCAGAATTTTATAACAAGGATGTTCAGCATATATGGAGCAAGAAATACTAAATACTAGATATCGAAGTTGGGTTCAGAAAAGGAAAAGGCACTAGGGATCATATTACAAACATACATTGGAGAAGTTTCTCCCTTTTTTTCAAAAAATCAATTAACAGTCAATTAATTATAATATTTCTTTTATTTATTTATTGTATGTACTTATTATTTATTTTTACTGATATGACATAACAGAAGAGAATTTCCACTGTTTGCATTTCTTTTTTGCCATTATTATTATCTGTTTCATTTCATGATTATTACTGAAAATAATTTTGTTGGGGGATGTTAAATATGTTAGGACACCACTGTCACAGCTTATATAGTAGGGGTATTTAAAGGGACAGTCATCATAGCAATCAATGGTTTAAAATAGACAGTCAGTAAATGTGTCCTCTTTTTTGTTGTTCAAAATAAGGTAACCCTTGGTTACAAATCTCAAAATCTCTTACCACCAACCATGGCTGGGGCTCCTTGGATCTGCAGTCCTAAATATCCAGGGGGACAAATATTCCGCAATCCTGCATTACATCTGTCTAAAAAAGATGAGATGAGAAAGCTGGAGGAAGCTCAAAGGCAAACAAAGAGAAACACATGCTTCTTCTAATTGCTGGACAGGCTTCTTTCCCCTTAGCAACTAATCTTCCTCTAGGAGCTGGGAGGAGGAAGAGGATGGGAAATGAGCTGCTATGCAGAGAGGACTGAAGAGAGGTCTACCAGTCCTATTTCCCTATCTGCAAGCCTACAATCCCCTCCAGCTTGTGGCTGTCCTTATGTCACAGTGGAAGCAATGTCTGGTCACAGGTTCTTTAAAACACAGTGGAAGCTGCTGAGAACTAAGCTATGCACAGCCACACTGCTTCATGTACACCTGTCCGTTCTGGACACTGTTTTAGTTTGGCCCTGGAAGGTGGCTTCAACAAGAAAGAAATGAAGATTAGCAAAAGAATGATTTGGAGGTATATGTTTCTTGTGTGCCTTCAAGTCATTTCTGATTTATGGAGGCTCTAAGGCTGGTTTGGTGTAGTGGTTTGAGTGTTGGACTTCGACTCTGGAGACCATGGTTCATTTCCCTGCTCAGCCATGAAACCCACTGAGTGACCTTAGGCAAGTCACATGCTCTCAGCCTCAGAAGATGGCAATGGCAAACCTCCTTTGAACAAATCTTGCCAAGAAAACCCCATGATTTAGGGTCACCATGCATTGGGAACAACTTGAAGGCACAGAACAAAAGGCTGAACCTACCACATGGTTTTCTCAGCAAGATTTGTTGGGGGGAAGGTTTAACTATGCCTCCCTCTGAGGCTGAGGGAGTGTGACCTGCCCATGGTCACCAAGTGGGTTTCTATGGCTAAGTGGGGATTTGAAATCTGGTCTCCAGAGTTGTAGTCTAACACTCAGACCACTACACTACGCCAGCTTGTAAAGGACCTGCACTGGGGGCAGACAAAGACATTTTGCTACACAAGGCACAGCAGCAAATGGTGCCTCCCTTCCCACACAAATCATCTAAGTCAAGCCAGCCAAGTTATTTTGGCACACAAGACAAAAGATCCACTAAGCATCTTTTCTCACTCTTTCTAGTAAAAATACATTTTTTAAAAAATAAAATAACTAATCAGTTCCTGCCCTTTCATGGCAGCCAAAATGTGCTGCTGAGACAGCCACTTCACTCTGTAATACTAGATCTGGCCCTAAAAACACTTTTAGCCCTTTTGTATTCATGTGATATTGGAAAATTGGGTGCAGGCTACATTTTAAAATACAACAACATCTGTATACCAGGGGTTGGCCCTCCAGATGTTGTTGGACTGCAGTACTCATAAACCTGCACCATTGTTTACACTAAGGCTGACAGGATCTGCATTCTAACATCTGGAGAACCACATCTGCCCACCTTTGCTGCATAAACAGTGCAAGATTTGTAATCAGGAGCAGAATTCATCATCCTGCAGTTTGATAAAGTGGATGAGTATGAGGAACGTGAAATCCATTTGCCACGAGCAACCTGCAATTGGTGCTGGAGGAGTGTGTGTTTGTGCAGGCGAGAGTCTCTCCAACTACAGTGTAATGTGATACAGCAAATTTTAAAAAACTGAGCAGCAATGGGGGGGGGGGGGATAGAGACTGGCCATTGCACTCACAAAGTCTCACATGGCAGCAATATCTAGTAGACCCCACCTAATTCCTTCTATGGCCCTAATTTATGTAAGACTTGAATAAAGTTGCATTTTCACTTCAAAATGTTCATAGAATCATAGAATCATAGAGTTGGAAGAAACCATCCAGTCCAACCCCCTGTCATGCAGGAACTCCCAATCAAAGCATCCCCAACAGATGGCCATCCAGCCTCTGTTGTCTGTCTGCTTCATTACATCTTTAAAAAAATGCACTCAGCTCTCTATTGGATTGTTGGCATACAGTGCCAGTACAACAAAGAGTATTGGCATGGCATCATTGATATACTCATGCTGCACACCAAAAGGGCCAAAATTGTGTGGATCTGTGACAATGTAGATTGCTCTGGAAGCTCTTACAATTTAATACTGAATGTGGGAGGTTTCCTCCTCTCATAATACTAGTAAAACTGACTTGCAGTAGAGAAAAGGATAACAAAAGGAATGGCTGCTTCATGCAGTAGTACTCAACCTGTGGGACTCACCAATCTTGCTTATGGGCAAGAGCCTCCAAAGGGATCTGGCTACCCCATGTTTGAAACATAAAGCTGAGCTCGATGCTTCTCTGTCTTGATCCACAAAAAAACATTATTATGTTGTTCGTTGGAGAGCAGAAGACATGTTCAGAGGCATTCTGCTTGTTTGTTGTTGTGTGACCTAAGGCGAAACTATCATGGGATTTTCTTGGCAAGTTTCCTCAGAGGAGGTTTGCCATTACCATCCTGACGCTGAGAAAGTGTGACTTGCCCAAGGTCACCCAGTGGGCTTCTATGGCTGAGCAGAGACTTGAACCCTTGCCTCCAGAGTCATAGTCCAATGCTCAAACCACTACCTGCTGGAATTCTGCTACTCGCCCCTATATTATATCTTTGTGGCACCAAAAATATGTCTTAGAGTAGATGCCCTGTTAGCCATTCGGTGCATAACTGATATAGAAAAATCTCCATTATCTGTCACCATTTTCTCTCACACACACATGCATACACAGAACACACACACACAGTGCAGATGTTTCATCCCTTTGTCTTCTCTTAGCATTCTGCTTCAATGAGCAGCGCCACCTTGTGGAAGACAGCGACACTGTCAAGGAGGTTTTCTTCATGCACAAAAAAATGAATGGGGTGTGATTCATCCAGCTGCAGGGGCTCTTTGCATGTGTCAGATGCCACCCTGCTATTTGCTGGCCCCAGTCCAAACTGTCAGGTCACAGCTGCAAGTCACAATCAACCCGGGAGATATGTACTGCTGCACAAATGGGTCTGATTGCAAATGAGGTTGTAATAATGAGCAATGCAGATAACGGCAGATTGGAACTCCCATCAGCTCTAGCCAGCACAGTTGTGAATGCTGGGAGCTGCAGTTTAACAACATGATTTCCATCTCTGAAATAATTAAAGGATGGGTGCTTCTCACCTAACACTTCCTCCCTGTGCACATAATAAATATGCTCCAGTTCCCTTCTAATGGCCCCGGTGTTATATTTCAGTGTGTTTGGAATGTGGCCAGCATGGTATACAGGCTAGGGCACTGGATATTGGGAAGCTCAGGTGTGAATCCCTCTTAGTGATTTATTTATTACAATTATTTATAGACCAGCTTTCATCATAAAAGATAATGAGGCGGTTTCCAAGGTAACACCAATAATAATAAAATACAGTACACTTCTTCAGGTTTATCTGCTGCGAATGGTGTTGGGGGGGGAGGGAGAAGGTGGGCTGATAGGGGCCCAGGCAAGCAAGGCGGCTGGAACTGAAGGCTCCAAAAGCCACATTTGGCCAGCAAGCCACTGGTTCATCCTTTCCTTCCCAATGCAGGATAGAATCAATTCTCTCTAACCACCCTATTAAATAGTCAAACCCAGGTACAAAAATAGAGCACAGCTCCTTACTGATCTACCTTCTTGCCAGACCACATTGAGATCATTGCCCCTAAGAAATCCAATGCAGAACACTGAGGTTCCTCTGTCAGGAACCACTTTCATTTAATCCAGCCATACGAAAGGGAAGAAAAAGTACAACCTACTTCAGGATCCTATTCTGCAACTATACCACCACACACACACACACATACACACTGCATGAACTGTGTGCCCTGCTTCCAGTAATGCTGCCTAGAGATCCCTATTCTGATGTGTACACAACAACAACAAAACTGAAGGATTAAAACGATTTAAAATGCCTGATCAATTTTTCAAAGTTTATTTTTTTTAAAAAAAAAATAGCAAATGACAGAATGAGATCCAGAAGGTACCTCTCTGCAGCAATGAAGCTACCTAAATAGAGCTTTGAAACAGATGTCCAGGCCATGAATAGGTGGAGCCTCAGAGTGAGCTTACCACAGTTTTGAGTAAGTGAAGAAACAAACATTACCATTGAATTTCCCCCTGTATTGCCATAAAACCATAAAGACCAGAGTCTAAACTTAGTAATAAACTGCACCCCTTATCTTGGGGAGAGGCTCAATGACTGCAGTATACCACTGAAAAGGCCTTTTACTGCCCACTCACCTTTGATGGCAATAAGCATTTGAAAGAGGCTCTTTGAAGAAGAGCTTAAGATTTTTAAAAAAAAAAAAATACCCAGAGAAATGTTTATATGCTGCAGCCCCAAAGCTCAGGGAGATCTACCGTATATCATTATTAGTTTTAAAACAATGGAATAAGAAAATAAGTAAAACCCAACAAAGTACAAACAAGAGTCTTCCAGGGGGGAGGGGAATAACAGCTAAATCAATTGAAAATAAATGCTCTTTGGTAAAGGTGTATTTTCTCTCAACCTCAGAGGATGGCAGTGGCAAACCTCTCCTGAAGAAACTTGCCAAGAAAGTCCTATGATAGGTTCACCTTGGGGTTGTCATAAGTTGGAAATGACTTGAAGGCCCAAAACAACAAGAAGCCAGAGAGAGGAAGAGTCCCAACCCTTATTAGGCAAGTCTTTAAACAGCCTTGAGACAAGGGCCACAAAGGACCTCTGTGTGTGGGGGGGGGGGGGGGGGTTGTTAGAGATATTAGGGAATGGTGCTGGACCCTTTTGAATGCAAAGTATTCTGAACTATGGTCTCTCCCTGCTGACTGGGGCAGAGGAAAACCACTCTGCAAATGCTTAAGCTTGGGGTTGCTTCCTGATGAGCTCTAATTCAATTTTATTCTGTTTTATTTGTGCCATGGTTCACAGGTAAATCATTAATCCTTGTAAGTATTTCATGCATGCTCCATCATCCTGTTTAAATGCACTTACCATGTGCTTTGGCCCATTGGCAGGTAGGGTTAGCACACCAGTGAGTGGCAGCCTGCAAGCAAAACACTTTCCCCCTCACACTGAGCTGTTGTTACGACTGCCTGCTGATGAAGCAACAAACCAAAACGAATGACAAGCATGTGGCCAAGATGGTAAGGCGTCACCTCCATCCAGTTCCCTCAACCAAATCAATCAGCCTATGGGGGGAAATCCCTCTTTTTTTGCTTTTTCTCTCTCTCTCCCTCTGACCAACACCTGAGGAATGTGCCTGAAGCCACAGGGCTGACAGCTCCCAGATGCCGCCCCACCACAGCCGGTGCGTTTACAGCTAGCAACCAAGGGTCACGTATCATAAACCCAGGCAGTGCTACAGATGTCTTCATAACATTTTACAAGGCCGTGTGCAGCATTACCCATAATTCAACTGGGAGTGTGAGAGAACAGTAAGAAAAGGGATGGGACTAAGAAGGGAAGGTTTGCATGGAGTCCACAGAAGGACATGGAAACATTTAAAATTAGTTGGATTTCACAGGTCTTAACAAAATTGGGCTGGGGGAGAAGTGAAGAAGAAAGAAGCTGCCAAAGCCCATTTCCAGACATGTACCATATCCATCCTCTCAGCTTTGTTTGTCTCCTTGTGTCTTGAGAGGGCCACAATTGAATTCAATCTCAAGACAAGTAAAAACAGCAGTAGCTTTCCACAACCACAGTTTGGTTTCCCTGCACAAATCAAGACATGCAAAAAGTCAAGCAAAGCTGTATCTTTGTTGATGGCGGGGAAAGGTGATTTCAAAGCAAGATTTGAGTTTGAACGGCTCATTTCACAGCAGTCCTGCGTCTTCCGACACCTGTGATGTAGAGTAGCAGAAACAGATATGAGATGAAAAGGTTAGGCATGGGGTATGCAGTTTGCACTGTTAAAAATATATCCCTGATGTCTCCAGTCTTAGGAAGCAGGGCTGGAAAATACATTTACTTGGAAAGTAACTGCTTGAGCAGACAGCACAGGGCTAGATGGACCACATCAGCAGGTAAAGACCCAGTTCATATCATGGTCTAGATCTAGAAGCCCCAACTGATCCGTAATTAATTCAGATTAGTTTCAACTATTTTATCAGGACATACTTTCTCTGATTCTGCTTGATGTGGCAAGAACATGAAGCAGACAAGGTTTTTACTTCTTTTTTTTCTTTCTTTTTAACCACAACATAGGTCCAAAACACACTGCATAAATAATCAGTTTGAGACTGCTTTAACTGCCCTGGCTCAATGGTAGGGAATTCCGGGAATTGTAGTTTTGTGAGACATTTAGCCTTCTCTGTCAGAGAGCTCTGGTGCCACAATAAACAGCAATTCCCAGGATTCCCAGCACTGAGCCAGGGCAGTTAAAGCAGTCTCAAACTGGATTGTTTCTTCAGTATGTTTTGGACCATAGAGCCAGCATGGTGTAGTGGTCTGAATGTTGGGCCTAATACCAGGTCCAATTCTTAGTCCATCTAAGCAAGCCTTGTCTACCTAGCTTGCAAGGCCATGCATCTATATCACCATTTTTCCAGATCTTAATTGTCAGCAGGGTATACTAGCTCAACCAACAGTTGTGCTGGAAGTGATAGAAACATGAGTCTGGCAGAGACCAGCAGAGTATCACAGCACATACCCCCCAATTGTGGGGGTCTCTTAGGAAGATTTTAACCTCACCCCACCCCGTCCCTTATGAGGGTTTAGGCTAGGTTTGTCAGGTGCCCCTTATATTAAGGGGTGTCCTTTACATGATGGCTGGAAAGCTTGTCCCTTATCTGACTGGCAGATGTCTCTGTTTGTAAGAGATAACCCTTGTTTGATGGCTGGAAAACATGTCTTTTTATATAGATTGAAGGGGATGCTAAAAATCCAGTACCTGGAGGAGCAGTGGGCATTTTGAGAAAAAGGAGGCTAAATTGCAGGAACTCACTGCCAATAGGGATAATTACAATATGATTAAAATAGATTCAGGACTACTGATGCATGCCAGAAAAGAAACCAAGTATGGATTTTCATACAGACCCAAAATTGTCAACCTCGCATGACATAAATTTTGACTATCCCTTATTGTGGTGACCCTAAGATGGAACTATGAGAGCCAGGATGGTGTAGTGGTTTGAGCATTGGACTATCACTTTGGAGACCAGGGTTTGAATCCCTGCTCAGCCATGGAAACCCACTGGGTGACCTTGGGCAGGTCACACTCTCTCAGCATCAGAGGAAGACAATGGCACCCCCCCAAAGAAAATCCCTTGATAGGTTTGTCTTAAGATCACAGAATCCGAGAGTTGGAAGAGACCTCAAGGGACATCTACTCTAACACCATTCTGTCATGCAGGAACACATAATCAAAGCATCCATCCAGCCTCTGTTTAAAGTCCTCCAAAGAAGGAGACTCCGAGGGAGTGTATTCCACTGTTGAACAGCTCTTACTCTCAGGAGGTTCTTCCTAATGTTGAGCTGGAATCTCTTTTCCTGTAGTTTGAACCCATTGCTCCAGGTCCTGTTCTCTGGAGCAGCAGAAAACAAGCTTACTCCATTCTCAATATGACATCCCTTCAAATATTTTAAAAGGGCTATCATATCACCTCTTAGTCGTCTCTTCTCCAGGCTAAACATCCCCAACTCCCTAAGTCATTCCTCATA